GTCGTGCATGCCGTAGTCGTTAGACCATTGACCTCGCATCCCTACAAAGCCGGGACGGAGCACGCCGGGTTCTCGCCGGATCAGGCTCTCACATCACCAAGCGCGAAGCGACGTGAGGTGTTCGGCGAGTCGCATGAAGGGTGTGCTGCATCCTGCCAAGGGTGTTCGGCATCTTGTGCATACTTTCTTGCGTACGGATGATAGCTGCCTATGACTTGGTATATTTTCTGGTGCTTTCACTTCCAGAGACAGTTATAAGCACTGTGTACCTGCCTCGCGGGTGCTTTGACCAATTTTAATACAACGCGGTGCGATTATCCCCATTGCGCGGAGTGAGGGTTCTCGACGCCGCACAACATCATCTACTCGACGACCGTTCATGGTTACGGCAAAAAAAAAAAATTACAGACAACAAATAAAAGCGGTAACCTGGTTACCGAGCTCACGAAGTGATCGGCTTGCTATACAACGTCGTTGCCAACCGATGAAAACCCAACCCCGATGGGCGGGTGGGGGGGGTGAACATGAAATGTGGCTAGGATATCTTCGACGAGAGTGGGTGAAGAGGCTGCTACGTATGGATGAAGACTTGTAACCTCCAGAACCGGTCGATGCGTGAATTTGAGGTCATTGTTGTGTTAGGTTCTCAGAACAGCGTGCACGAGGTATTGCTGTACGGAATCTACATGGAACCTGCATTGACCCTGCCAAATACATTCGGGAAAAAACACAAGTTGAGTTCGACTGAGGAAGACGTATCGAAATAACGACGCCAATCACATGACGAAACGACCCACGGGGGGAGTTCCACCAACATTGCTCTGTAGCCCGGGTTTAGCACACGCTAGTCGTAGTATTCCTTCCGACTACGGCGGGGGTTTTCTAACCGAGATATCCGTCCGATGATGGGTTGATGTTACCTGTCGGATTGGTGCTGGGATGTACACCGACTTGCACATCTCCTCGGCCGTGTCTCGTCGCCGTGCCGCCCACCCTTGTACGACGAAACGACGGGGAAACGAGGAACCACGCGTGCGGGAGAGGGGATACGTGAAGCGCTCACGTGCGCCGGGGAACATCGTCGTAGGAGTATTGTGCTTTTCAGGGTGATGTTTGTGCGTCTATCAAACGAGACAACCGCGTTGCGAGATGCCGCTATCGCGCACACGGGTATTTACAACAGCGCGCTTCGGATTGTTGAAAACGTTAGACAAGACTGCTGCGGTAGTATCTCGAAAGGGTACAAGTAGCCTCTTTGATTTATGTGTATTTTCGAATAGAGACATATATAGGACCATGTGTCGTGTCTGCTTGCAATCAAACAAACATAAGGTTCCGCCGCATTTACATCGCGCGTGCAGGCAAGTCTACGGAGATGCTGTTGGGTGCACACTTTTTGCGCGCAAGTCATTCACCGCACAAGAGGCAAAGCCACCATTGCACTGCTGGGTACTAGAGGTGACTGCCTTTTTTGGGAGAGTCGCGACGTGACACTTCGTGAAGTCGCGACGTTCACTTCGCGAGCTACGAGTTACAATTACGTGTCGGAGATATTTACGTAGTCGAAGTGACTTTAGCCCGAACGCCTGGGACAAGAACCAAACACGCGAGACTTCGCTGCTTTTGAGGCCTCCTATTCTCTACCCTGGCTGAACGTGTGTGCGAATACCGTAGCGGGAGCACAGCAGCATACCTCGCATTACACGACTACCGGTGCTCCCATTGAGAACACGAGCAAGATCCGCCGTGTCTGTTGCCGTACGCATTGCATCATGCGAACACCATCACACGAGTACAAACCTCTACAAGAGCGACCGCACGTGTTTATTGGCGCAATTTTTCAAACAAGAGGGCCGATAGAGCAGTCGATATGGCAAGTCGATATGGCTCACAGGGTTAGTCTTGGTGACGGGAGAGAGGCCGAGCAAGGGCGGAAACACATAACAAGTAGGGGGAGCGGTCCCTGTGCTGAACATTTTACACAAAAGTACAGAAAATAACCTCCTGGTACATCAAGTACCAACAGCCTCTTGCCCAGGCGTAGTCTGTGGGTCATACATATGCGGAGCACAGAAAGGGAGAAAGGGCGAGAGAGAACAGAGGGAAAGAACTGGGCTCTCCGCGTGCGAGGTGCGTGAACAGCACTGATCGGTGGGTGCAGTCGACGGAGAGAGAGAGAGAGAGAGAGAGAGAGCAGACGAGCCATCAATAAACCCGGACAAGCACGTTGTACCTGGTGGGGGGATAATCTTGCACAGCCCGGCCTTCCCTGCGATGCGATCGACCACATCTTCTATATATCGACGGAAGCTCTTGAATTCCTGCTCAGTTGGCCTGAACACGGGACATGTGGTCTCGGCCATCGCTGTCCGCGACCTGACACACTAACACACTCACGAGGGGGTGCAAGCTCGGTTGGCCCTCGCTTGTTCGATCACTCTCGCTTGTTCACTTCGAGCACTGACGGGGGGGGGCGCGAATGGGAAAGAAGGTTCGACCGAGGGGGTGTGGGGCGGGTTGTCTCCACGTACATGATGGTGCGCCAACCACACCCGCGGCGTAAATTTGCCAGTACTGACACAGAAAACACGCTCCAGTAGCTCGGTACAGCGACCCACTGCACAACAACCTAGCTTGGGGTGTTAGGTTTGGGTTGTAGGGTGGCTTCGGTTTCGTGTCTACCTCCAACCACAACCCAAAAATTGTGAAGGCGAGTGCACGAATCTCGCCAGCGCTGGCGTATATTCGGCAGCCGCCACTAGGGTTAACGTTCAGGGGTTCGTTAGGCCTAGCGAGACCTCGCGCCTTGGTGCTGCCTGAGGGCTGGAAACCCGCTGTGGCTTTGGTTTCGTGTCTACCTCCAACCACAATCCAAAAATTGTGAACTGGCGAGTGCAAGAATCTCGCCAGCGCTGGCGTATATTCGGCAGCCGGCCAACCACAGCATTATTATTGCAATCATACAGCACTAGACTAGACCTAGTCATCACAGCTAGCTGTGTACGGGAGGATCTTCCCTTCTTAGAGGTGGCGACGCAATTAGTTGCTCTTCACGGCCCACAGATCTGATAATACCACGCAGCGTCAACACCCTGGCAAGGTTCCTGCTCGTGGACCTTCTGGGGACCGATTACCTTGGCAGGGTGTAACAGCGTCCGTACAAAGACTATTTGGCCGCGAGGTCTGTGCAGGGTGAGCCGTTTGGCCACAGGTGACAATGTATAGACTATATCATATATATCTTCCAACTATTGCACCAGGACAATGTACCCAACAGAGGTCTGAGGCGGGTCTCTGGGGGGATTGATTTCGCTACAAACATGTTTGCATGCTTCAAGGTGCGGTCAAATCACGCGTGCACGGACGGCAGGACGGCAGCTGCTGTGGTTGTTGTTGTGTTGGTTCGTAACGAGCGAGAGATCTCGATGCCTCGTAAGTAGTCTAGTGCACTATACTTGTCTCGAGAGTTTGCAAGAAGCAAGGTTTCGCCGGCGTCTTGAAGGCGCCATATGCATTGATGCAGGGAAGTCTACCACGGCATTGTGTAGTGTAGTGCGCAACACGAACAAAATCAAATCGTATTTACTCGTTGGCCACGATCACGGACCTCACTTGCCCAACCATGTATAGCGGTGACAACCGTGGAGGCGTTGATTGGCCCATTTCTCACGCACGAACGTCTTTCTTGCAAGCGCAGACAGCGGTGGATTCCAAGGAAGGGCCCTGGTTCGAACCCTGATGTTGTCACGACATGCTCTTGCGCGAAGTAGAGTCTAAATGGATGCACAAGCCGGCCGGTCCCCTTGACCTCGTGCGTTAGTTGGTTGTCGTTTATCCATGAACAATAGCTGCCACTCTCCCAGCCAGTTATCGTCAGGCAAAGCATGTCTAACCACACAACGCGCTGCAGTAAATAAATAACTTTAAGGTCATACAGGTAGGTATCTTACACTGAGAGAGGTATAACGTAGGGAAAATGGTCATCAAACGAAAAGATCCAAAAGCTATATATGTAGTCTAACATAGACTTCAAGTAGAATAGCTACATACATACATACGGCTTCGCGCGCACCTCCTTTTAAATATTATTTTTGCCGGGCGGGTCCATGTGGTGTCAAGCCTTTGGTACCCTCTCAGCAGGTTCTGGGTGCCATACCTATCTCTTTTGGTAATAATGTATTCGTACACGCGTTATTCTTCTATCTCTCTCTCGCTCTCTC